AAATTGATGAACCGTTGCTTTGTCGTTCCAAATTGTATGCTTTCTTCAGTTCTTTTAAACTTAACTGTGTTTTTGCCATTTCAACGGTGGCTTTTCCTTGTCCCTTCATAACGCGTCTGCTTTTTTCTCGAGCAAGTAGACGTGAGGGGAGAGAAATAAGAAGCAGTCTATGCCACACCGATGGTGTATACTGCGCATACAACTTTTTTTCGTAGAATCTTCCTGCTTTGCTTCCACGTTTTTCCGGAATTTACTAATGCTTACTTGATGTTGAAGCGGTTGATGGATCAACATTAGTGTATATTCATGTTGGGAACGCTTTCCGTTGGTGTAATTGGTATTCGTACCATTTCCGTTCTTCATTTCTTTGTTGTTTTATACTGTGGTACTGATGATTCCCACTTCTACTCGCACATGCATCTCTCTCTGTCTGTGTTTGCGATTATGAGATGAGACACGGATTGCATCTGGATCTTTTCAACGTTGTGTAAGGGGTGGGCAGCTCTAAATTTTGTAAATTCGTCAAGGTTCATAATGATATAACGCTTAACACTACCTATGTTTGTAATATTATCTAATGCCTGCACCATATCAAACATTAGTAGTTTGTTGTATTTGTTGTAAAATAAAAGATATAATAGCTGTGTGAGTATGGTTTGAATGATGAATACAGGTTGTTTTCGACCTTGAACTGCTGAAAATAGAGGAAGCAGTTCTTATCTTCTGGCCACTAGAATCTCAGTAGCTGCTATCTTTTGAGCGCCTCATGCCTCTCGCACACTGACTAGCAGGATTTTGACAGCAGGAAAGCCAGAAAGCTGAAATTTTGGGGGAATGTCCCCTGTCCAAGTACAGCTCAAATGTTTCAATTTCAGCCTTGAGGTATGCGTGGTACTCACCTAAGAGCATGTGAAAGTTTTTGCGAGAAAATTTCTAGCTTGGGAACCAGGAAAGCTGTCTTGCCTACTCTGACTACCAAAATGTGAGGGATTATTGTGTGCTAATTACAAGAAATCTGAAAATCTGTAAACTAACGAAATGGGAAACGCATACTTCCGAGTGGTTTTTCCATGTGAATTTTGTCATCAACTTTCAAATTCAGTAGCCAGGATTCAAGAGCCGGGGAAAGTGGGAATTTTCCGAAGGTGTTTCCGGTTCACGTGTGACCTAGTAAAATGTGGAATCAACTCTCGCTGACGAATATCCGAAAGTTGAAACTGGAAGAACGTTGCAACTCCGAGAATAGGATTTGAGAAAGCTGGAATTTTAGGAGGGATTTTTATACGTTTTGTGCTGTGTAAAAGCAGTACAAAACGCATGCTGTCACGGGCTTGTCTGTGTGTATGTGTTCGCAGCAACTTGTCTGCAACTTTCAACTTGGGAACCACAAAGGCTAGGAAGTTGAAAGTTTAGGGGGGCGTTCTCCATTCACGTGCATCCCCGCAAATTTAAATTCAGCCTTCCCGTACACCCGGGTAACATGTACGGCCCCGTAAAAGTTTGGGCGGGCAAAATTATTATCGCGGGAACCATAGAGTTGAAAAGCTGAAAATTTAGGGTAATGACCACCTGCCTTCGCTCGACCTTGCCTATTCAAATTCAGTGTTCTCGCGCTCTCGGATATCAACCACGGCCTCGTGAAGGTTTTGGCGAGTAAATTATTATCTCGGGAACCGCAAGATCTATGAAGCTGAAATTTTAGAGTAATTACCTCCTGCCCACGCTCGACTTTGCCTATTCAAATTCAGCGTTCTCGCGCTCTCGGGTATCACCTACGGCTCGTGAAAATTTTTGCGGGGGAATTATTATCTTGGGAACCATAAAAGCCAGAAAGCTGAAATTTTATACTAATTTCTTCTGTTCACATGCAATCCTATAATTTTAAATTCAGCTTGCCGCGCGTCTGAGTATCACTTACGGCCACGTGGAAGTTTCAGTTGGAAAATTAGTATTTCAGGGGACACGGAAGTTGAGGATCTGAAATTTTAAGATGATCTCCTTTACAAACGTATGACCTCGCAAATTTGAACTCAGCCTTCGCGCACCCCTAGGTACCACGTATAGCCACGTGAAAGTTTTGACAGAGAAGTTATTATCTCGTGTGCGTGAAATTTCTAGTAGGAAGTTCCGCAACTTAAGAACGAGACAACATTTTAATTATTTTTGCGCAGACCAAAGTGTAAAGCAGTGAAAATCATTAGCAGGCAGTCGTTCGGTGAACGGAATTGCACAAAATGTATGATCGCACCGGCTAGTCTGGTGCGCGTTGCTATTTATTGTCCATTGTTACGGCCCAGCGTTTCTAGATTCAGCTTTTATATACACTTGCAACATGCGCATGCAAAAGCTAATTGAAACTAAGGTTCTGCAGGGACTCCACTAACACTACCACAAGATATCAGAGCAACACGAAGCAGTCCGAGAAAATGTCGTCATCATCAGACGAAGAGCTCATTGTGCGGCGAAATGTGAGTGCCACGCAGGCAGTGGGTGATCGGCGTAGCCGCAGATCCCGTGTATCGCGTGCTCAAGAATCGAAGCTGAGAGCCCTGGAGGAAATGAGACGCGCACGTGAGAGCGGTGGCGTGCATCGTGTTGACGTAAGTTTGCTTACGGAGTTGCATCGTAGCATGCTTTTTTTCCTGATTCTTTTTTTATGCGTTTTTGCATATATGTAAATTACAAAAACGCATATTGGGGAGAGGCTGTGTGTGTGTGTGTGTGTGTGTGTGTGTGTCTTTGTGTTCGCACTTTTTGTCACCCACTTTCAACTTGAGACCCAGAAAAGCTAGAAGGCTGAAACTTGGGTTTATGCTTAGAAAAGCAAAGCACTGAGATTCCTAGTGTGTTTTTTAAGCGTTTTTGCATATTTATGCACCGGTGTGATGGAGAGACCCTATGGTAGACCTGTACAATATCGCGTGGACTCGGAGAGCGCAACAACGAATCGAATGGGGAAGTTGCCAGTGCTGCATCGATGGCGTAACAACGGGCGTCGATGACATTACAGCTGCTCAAGTATTCAAGTATGCAGATGCAAAAACGCATATCGTGACGGTCCCGGATATTTGAATACAAAGAAAAATTTAGAGCAAATGATAGTAGTAGTTTTGGCCTTACTAAACTTCATAGTTTAGACGAATGCCTGGAAATCTTGTAAAAATTGGTCGATGAGCCGTGAATTTCTTTTTTTTTCATCTGA